CTGTCTCTCCTCCAACCATTGTCGGTTTCCCCTCCTGAGCGAACAAAATGTTAACTCCTAAGAGAAGGTGTAAGAGCCGCAGACGCATATTGGATCTAAAGAGAAACGTTCATCAATCCTATGAAGAATCCATGGACCTTCAAACAGCAATACTACTGTTTACACTTGGTAGTATTTATCAAAATGAGTCTGTCTCTAATCTCTATGGCTAAGTAGCTCTTCTCCTATAGAAATGGAATCAATTGGCAAATTTTGAACCTTTCAACGAAGATAAATCCCACAAGTTTCCACCTTATCTAAATGCTTAAACCTGGATAGCTAGAAATCAATCAAGCTAAGCAAAGATGAAGAAAACTCAAACCTGGCTGGTTCTAGCAGTGGGGCTAATGCCAAGATCAAGGAGAGAAGGAATATCGCCAAGCTCAACGTCTCCTCGAGAGGGCAAGCTTTTCAATTGATCAAGCGCTGCGATTGTCTTCCTAATCTCCAGTTTGTGGACTTTATCCTTGAAAGCTCCGTAATTTGACGGCAAGTCCTCAATTTTGAAGGGCAAATCATCCAAATGATAGAGAGTGCTTCCCCAGAAATACTTGACTTCAACGCCTTCCTCTTTCATCGCCGACTCTATCTTTCCTTCAGCTTTAACCTCGTCGTGAGACACTTCCCTGTGAGCATAAACCGCGTCAGCTCCAATCTCCTTAGCCAGTTCCACCAAAACAGCTTCAGGTTTCCCGACACGGACAACTAGATTCGACCCTCTCGCTTGGAGATTCTTCCGGAGCTCCGAGACGGACTCAATCAGAAACTGGGCACGAAAAGGCCCCGTTTTGTCGAACCCGGAAGACGATTTCCCGTAATCCCTAGGGTCGAAGCAGTAAACGGGCAAAACGGAGACGCACTCGTCGTTGGCGGAGTTGAGACACTCGTTGTCGTGGACACGGAGGTCATTGCGGAACCAGACGACAGCAGCACGGCGGAGAGCGGCGGCGGAGGAAGGATCAACGGGACGACGAGGGACGATAGAGAGAGGGGAGTGAAGAGGGTTAGCAGCGATGGTGGATTTGAAAGAGATTCTGGAAGGTAAAGGAGAGACAGGAGAAGAAGAAAGAGAGAGATGAGTGAGAGAAGAGGCCTGCGTAGGGATCTTAACCTTGTTTGGATGATGAGAAAACAATTTGAGGAATTGAGTAGATGTGGGGAACAAGGTTAGAGAAAGAGATGCGATTGGTAGAGAAGAATGGATAATGGCGAGTGGGTTTTCTTCTTCTGCGGATTTTGTTTCTGGGTTTAGGTTCTTTTCTTCAAGGTTCGAATCCATTTTTTGTGTGTAGACAGAAGAGTGAAGAAGATGAATTGAGGATGGATGATAAGCTCTCGTCGATTTTCTTACCTCTCCACACAATTTCTGTTTAGATCAAATAATTAAAAATTGGTGGTGGCACTGTTATTTTTTTTTTTCAACTTTAGAACTATCAATAGATTTTTCTATTAACACTACTACTAATGAAGAAATTTTTTATCTTACCAAAAAAAAAATGAAGAATTTTTTTAATTTTTATATATTCATTTTTAATCCTGTTATTGTTCTGAACATTCTCACTGAAATCTTATTTGGTCAATTAAATTAATTAACATAAAATTTGAAGATAAAAAAAATTGAATAATAAATTTATTTAAAAATATAAAAAGTCCCAATTATACATTTCCTCTGTTTTATCATTTTGCCATTTTTTACACATAAAAAAAAAAAAAAGAAGAAGATAAAACTAACATAATTGTAAAACAATAATAAATTTTGAAAATGACAAAGAGAGGGAGAATGCACAAGTCAAGCTTGATGAAGCAGTTTCTGATCTTCAAACAAGTAAAAGAGCAGTAGATAAATTCCATCTTACAGATCATGGGACTCTCCATATATTCCTTCCATTTCGTGTATATGAATAATGAACTTCTCAATGCTGCAAAAACCAGATCACAAAAGCAAAATATGTACAACGATCTGTAGGTAATTTGAAACGAATAACGATCTATGCAGTGATCGTATACAACAGATAAGTTCGAAAACACTCTCGTGATGCAAGTCAAAGAGCTCAATGACAACTATATGTGGAGAAAGATAGAGCTTGAAAACTTTTAGCTTCATCATGGACACCCTAACATGATTAAGAGAACTACTTGCTATATATGAAACTCCAAGAAATTGCAGAAAACGAAATCTATATGAAACAATACTAAAATTCAAAACGAAATCTCACTGAAGCTCAAAAATAACAAAAGCAAACACACGCCCACGCCTACATTTAATTTACATTACATATATATGAGAACTTAAAAATTCAATCAACCGTCGAACTCATATGATTTAACACACGCACAAAAAGAAGAGCTACTTAATTAAGAACAACCCAAAAAACACTTGAGTTGCTAGAATTTATTATCTACAAGGTTTAAAGAAGGATAACATCAATGGGTCAGGAGCTCATGTTGGAGAAGGGGAGTACGTGCAAAACACATGAGACGGATTTCGTGTTTGTTGGTTTGCACGTGCCCTGCTTCTCCAACATGGAGATTCTCACCCGCATTTCCAAGTACGAGAGAGCTTTTGTAGTATGATAACTTTGGTTATGGAAGGTTTGTATATATATATAGGCCCAAAGATTGCATTAATGGAAGACTCACACGCACATACGTATATGTATATATAATTTATTTATGTTATGTGGCGTGTGTTGGCGTGAGTGTGTTTTACGTAAGGCAAAAGAACCATGTCATGCCATGATGGCATCTCACGCAAAAGAAGGGTTGAACTACAAAAGTGAGAGAGTGAAGAGAGGATCGCTAGGGCCAAACAATCCCTTGTCTAATAACTGCTAAGGGCATCTCCAACTCTATTCTATTTTAGAGTAAAAATGTAAAAAAATTTTCCAACCCTACTCTATAATTGACTCTAAAATAGAGATTTCTGCAGATTGACTCTATATATAGAGCAATTCTATTCTCTACTCTATTTTTGAGTTCAACTTTTTTTATTTATACTTAAGTCCCTCAAATTTAAACTTTTTTATTTAATACATATAATCATTTTACAAACAACAATTACAACACATAGTTTTATAAACTTAAAAAGCAAACAAGTACTAAATTTAAAATAAACAACATAAGAAAACTAAAACATTAAACTAGTAATTTAATAGTCCGGTAAATTGCTTGTAGGTCCGCCAAGATAGTTAAAATATCTTGTTATTTAAAATAAAACTTGTAATGTTTTATTATTGTTATATGATGTAATGTTTTTTTAATAAATAATTAGTGTTTAATTTAACTAATATCATATTTTATGGAAATTTTGCAAATCTATAATATATGGAGTCAAATTGTAAATTATATAATTAAAAGGTATTAGTATATAAAATAGAAATAGAATATTTCTAAGAATATTCTTTTTTCTAAGAATATAACTCTATTTTAGAGTAAGATTTAGAGCTATACATTGGAAATGGTCTAAGTTTTGAAAGCATTTTTTAATTCCATGTTATTGTTTTTTTTATTTTTATGTTAGGGCTTGTCTGCTCTAAATTTCATAAACTCTACGTATATTAGTCCTAGCTAGGTGTACCATATTTTGTGTTATTGCTAGGATCCTATGGAGCCGGTCACACGTTGACAAGCAATACCTTGGACCTGTCCTCTCTCACGATTAATCTTTAGCTAGCATCTACTCTAGGGCATGGTGCCATGGTAAAAAAAATACAGTATCCGTACTTTTTCACTTCAGAAGGATTACTGGATTAGAATGAATTACGGGTATAACAAAATAAAATGGACCCACTAATAATGATCTATTTTACTTTTTTTTTTAGTTAATATTGAAACTCTTCAAACTCAAATATTGATATACAGTATACATTTTATCTCTGCAGATTTTCTACTACATCAATTATTTTTTTTAATGCCGAAGCATAGAAGATCCATTTGAATTAATAACATACATGTGCGTGAGAGAGAAGGGTCAAAAAGGGCAAGGTGGGTCGTCAAAGACTGTTGGGGGCAAAAGAAGAGAGGAATAATGAAAGAGTGCACGTAGGGCTTTGCGTGTTGTCCTAACTTTCTCTAACATAGAAGAAAAAAACATTCAAAATATGATGAGGTTGTGTAAGGTCCCTATGTTGATATCATTCCTCCTTACATTAATTATATGATGAGGTTATAGTATTTGAGATTCTAGCTAAGTGATCCATTAATGTTGATTCATTGGACATAAACATAATGATCCATTAGTGTTTTACTACTAAGTACTAAATAAGATAAGCTAGTAAGCAAGAGGTGAGATACAGCATAAAACTAATTAGGCAGTGTATGTCACACAGACCAGAGAGGCAGAGATGAATCAGCAACAAATCTTTTGTCTTGTAAAAAGAGGAGACAGAGTCAGACAATGAAGTCATCACCAAATCTATATATAAACACATTAATGCTTTTACGTACGTGTCCGTATCACACTCGTGTTTCCCACTAAATGCTAACTCATTTATATCGTCTAATGAATGTCTTTGATAACTTAAATGCATGGAGTGTCCTCCGTCCAATATCTCAAAAAAGAGAGAGCTCACTCAATTCCCTTGACGCACGAGTTTTGGACCTAATAATCGCTGACCTCATCAGCAACAAAGAAAAACAGCTACACTACAAAGACTTTTCTTTCACCAATCCAACATCACATAATGATTGCTTCTTCTTTCTTGTTTTTCTTTAATTAGATATCCAAGAATTCGTTAAAAAAAAAAAAAACAATCAACCATAAACCTTTTAGATCAAAGTTCACTTTTCGTTAAACCAGTCAAATTAAAGGTCTTCAGATATCCGCTGATTAAAGATAGGTTATATATATACTTATATAACTAAATACCTATGCAATGAGGAGATGGAAGAAGAGCTACAGACAAAGAAGAGGCATATCCATAAGTGAAAGAATGTCACGAAATATTAGCTAGACAAACACCAAATCGAGACGCTTATTGTTTAGATGAAAAAATTGTAAGTTAGATAATTGTGTAATATTCTAAGAAAATTCTACAACAAACACACAAGAAAGATAAGTGTCCTTCTTGCGCAAACCATGGAAGAAGTAACACTGACAGATCAAACGAAATTTGTCTATTTCTTGGCGTACGTGATGAGCATCTGGTTTTGCTGAATCTTGAAACCTTGAAGTCCCTGCATTGCGACCGTTGACTGCATCTCATCAGCAAACTCCACAAAGGCGATTCCCGGTTTGGCTTCAACCATCCTAACTTCCTTAAACCCTTGGTACTGGTAGAACAGCATCTGAAGCACCATTGGAGTTGTCTCGTGAGGAAGGTTTTGGACAAAGAGAATGTTATTTGGAGGAGCTGGTGCCTCGGGCAGATTGGGTTTCACACCACCAGGGTACGGTACTTGCGAAAGCTGTGAAAAGAGTGGGAAGAAGAACAATCATCAGAATACAGGAAAAGAATTAAGAGCGTCTCGTAAAAGCATGAATCAAGATTAGAGTTAAGAAAATGTTGAGATAACTCACAGGAGGTGCAGCTCCATAGACACCTGGATATGCTGAGTTCGTGGCCATGCCCATTTGTGTAGAATCATGGTGGTGGTCTTTCTTTTTCTTGCCTCCTGCAATCCCAAAGACAATATTTAGATGCGACAACATACTGTTTATACATAGTGATTATAGGTTGTGGAGAAAACAAAGATATCCCAAAGCTATGAATGAGACACGGCTTAACATAGTATGTGCATGTGATGTGACAACTAATGATCAAATGCAGAACGTGGGAATGAGAAATCAACATGCAGCAATGGTTCAAGTGAGCCAATGAAGTAAAAAATCAAAGTATCACCTTTCTCCTCATGTCTCTTTCTCTTCTCGCGAGGAACAAATGTACCATCGGCCTTGGCAACAACATCTGATTTTGTTTTGGCATATTGTATTCTCTGTCCAGATCGTTAAATTATATAATAGCAAAGTGATTGATAAGAATTTCATAAACAGAGCCTAGAAAAATAAAAGTATTTCCACAACCTAAAACATGTTCAATAACCTAAAAGCAACCACAAAACTTGGTCTTTCAACTAGAAAAGCTTCACGGATATAATAAGACTCCTCCAATCACTGAAATTAAACATCCACCTAGTAGATTCAAACCCTAATTACGAACGCTGGGCAACAAAGGAATTGGAGTGGAGGGAATCGTACCATGTTCTTATCGTAGAAAGGAAAATCATTCATTTTAGCAATAGCAGTGGAAGCAGAGTCGGCGTTGTCGAAGACTACCCAAGCTTGTCCTTTGTGCTTCAACGTCTTGAACGCCAATATCTCCAGTATCTTCCCGAACTGAGAGAACACAGCATTCAGCGATTTCTTCAGCTCTGTAGAAGAAAGTTACCGATACGAACAAGGAAGATAAATATCTCAATCAACTCAAATCGGAGGAGAAGAAGAAGCAAATAATCACCATCGATCTTCACTTTTTCGTTGAGATTGTTGATGTAAATCGTCTGATTCGGAGAAACCTCCGATCCTCCTCCTTGATTAGCCTCTTGCATCTCCATCGAATTTCTCCGTCGAATTTTGCCAAAGCGGAAGAAAAATAAGCAAGGGTCAGGTTTTACTACTTTTCACCAGAACAAAACTCTGTTCCTCCTAAAGCCCATCTATTAGCCCAATATTCCTATTAATGGGCCGATTATTATCTTGAGCCCATCAAAAACCCTAAATTGTAACATGTTATTATTATTACTAGTAGTTTCTTCTCGAGGGGCAAAGGCAGAGCAGCAACAATGGTTCACTTCTTGGTTAATCACTTTTAATGCTTCACCATCTGATGAAATAAAAGCACTCATAGTTCAGTTGTCAAAATGTGGACACTTCTGCTAATCGTTTACTTGGTTCGGTTGTATGTTGCTTAGTTCAGTTACTCTGATTTTTTCATCTCGTTTCTTGATGATTGGAATGCGAGGTTGCTGTCCTAACTATCAAAATCTAGTTGCCTGAAAATTAGACTATATCTATCTCTAGGACCACTTGTACTTTGTTTACAAGGGTTATATTTTCACTTTCCATTATTGCAGTAGCGATTGATGCAGCTTTCCTTAATGATTGCAGGTTCTACTTAGAGGTCCTAAGAACGCACGTGAAGCAGTCAAGCACTTTGGACCAGCTCCTGGTGTGCCACACAGCCACACCAAACCTTATGTACGTTCCACTGGTAAAAATTTTGAGAAAGCAAGAGGAAGAAGAAAGAGCAGAGGTTTCAAGGTCTAAGCTTAGCTACCAAACTTCAAGGTCTAAGAGCTACATCATAACTTGCTTCGAGAGTTATTATGGTCAGTCTATGTATGGCTTGAGTCAATCTTTTGAAGCTATTATGGGTTATACTTGACATTTCTCTAATGAGATATATGAGACTTAGTTGGAGAAAATCTTTCTCTCTTAGCTCTGCTTTTTATCCTTATAGTATTTGATTATATTTGTGCATCATAAATGGAAACTTGGATTCATGATGATTCCTTGTAGTGGTGGTAATCTAGAAAAGGCTTGAACTAGAGGAATATTCCTAATTTCTCAAGTAATCGGTTATCTTTCGGCTTTCAAAACTTTTCTTTTCCTTTTTTTTTTTTTTGCGCATTATCGGGTTTTGGATTAGATCAAATGTTTGATCTTTTTATATTTGGGTAACTCTCTTTGTCAATACGACAATACCTTTAATTGATCCAAAAGATCTTCTCACGCTATGATTAGTTTGTGTAGTGAAGAAGGTTTTGCCTCTTCCTCATCTTTGTAATGCTTAAGCTTGTCTAACATATTGGCGTCGCTGTCTTTCTTTCTCTCTGATTGCTAAATGAGTAAAGCTGCTAAATGTTCTTGTTCCAGTTTTTTTTTTTTATATCTTTTGGATTCGAAATGACTTGAAAGAAAGAAAACCAAAATAAATAAATAAAAGTCGAGGAAAAAAAGTTACAAGTAAAAAAGAAAGTAAAGGGGAAACAGGGACATGACTGAGCTGGCCATGACTAGGCCCAAATGTATAATAAGCCTTGGCTCGGTGTTACATCATATTACCTACAATATCAAAATTCTGAAAAATAATTATCGAAAGTTCGAAACTACTTAGATTTATATAGAATTTATACTTAACATATTGTTTTACAATTTTACTAAATAAAAGTGAGCTTAATTCTATTTATATAAAATTACTTTTGAAATAAATTGTGATTTTGATTAATAATTTACTGAAATAGGGAATTTTAAAAAAAATTAATACTAGTAGCTATCCTTCTTTATTTTATTGTATTTCATTCTCTCTTTTTTCTGTAAAATCAATTCTTACTTTTTCACAAATGTCCCTATTTTCAGCCTAACTCTCTTTTGTAAATGTTTTTCTCTCTTGCCTTTTCTTGACTAACAATATCCTTTCAAATAAAATTTAAAAAGAGAAAGTGGTCATCTGAAGTTTCATAGAAGTGAATGATTATTTCTTGTATCATTATTTTGTTAACTAAATGATTCAAACAACAAAACATGGTCCTTTCACATGTAGATTGCATTTCATTCTGGTGTGTCGTAAATTGGTTCCATAGAAAAGGAAACAAACTAACAAAGATTGTTATTGATATTTTGGTAGTTTTTTTACCTTTTTCTTATGACAACTTTGATAGTACATTTTCTAGATTTGCCGCACGGCACATCACATGGAAGGAGGAGGAAAATAGAACTTTATCCCAACTTGGGGAATGTTTTGACCAATGGACAGTCTTATCTTGTTCATCAAATCATAATATAACCTTCTCTCTCTCTAATTGCAATTGGTATAGACAATAATCAAATAAAGTTACCCAACATGCAACTAATAAGTAAATACCCATAGATTCGCTATTTCTGCGGCCGCCGTATGAGCAAACCCGTGATTTAAAAAACCAACTTGTACATCAAAATACTATTTTAAACAACATTTCACTAAACTTGGCCACTGTATTAAACCTACGTTAACTTTTTGTGTATTTTTATTAATTGTAATGTTGTTGAACATTGAGAAGCAAGAAAACTGCCAAAATGAGTGAGAAAAATGGGAAAGTGAAAAGAAAAATTAAAAAAGGTGATGGCAAGTAATAATAGAAGAGCATATATTTTGTGACCCATATATGTTGTGTATGGGCGAAATAATATTTCTTTATATAACAATAAGATGACAAAGATATAGTATATGTGATTTTGGGGGAAATCACAAACCATTGTCATTTGTATAATGTAGACTAATGATATATATATATATATATATATATATATATATATATATTTTATCGAGGTAGACCAATGTTATGTAAACTAGAAACAAGACAGAAAAAAGGCGTAGAGCAATAAGGTCGTAATCAATTTGTAAAACAGACTAGAAAATTCCAACGAAACCCAATTTACATCCTCTTCACGACAAAACACTTATTAGGTTCTGATGTGTAAAAATGGTCTTAAAGCCATATTTTGAAAACGACTCAAACAAAAGAAAAGAAGCTACATTTGACGAATATATATTTAAAAAGAAGAAAATAAATATTTATTTTGAAAACAGAGAAAACAAGTGCTAGATCCATCAAAGCAAAGCAAATTGAGGAGGGTCGTCTAAGATTGAGACAGTCTCTCTTAGCATCTAAGCAAGAACACTTTGATGATAGTCGTCTGTGTCTGTTTATTTAGTTATGAATTTCTCAGTTAATTCGTATCTATAATTAGATCATTCTGCATGTCTCATGCATATACTGTGTTAATTATTATTGCTTTTGAGTTTTGACATCCACATCTAGCTAAAAGAAAATAAATATAGACTATGCTTGACTAAACATCAAATTAAAGTCACCAAATCATGAGATATATCAAAAATAACGAAGTGTGTATAATCATATATTGAAAAGAAAAAAAAATAGCATAACGGTAGATTGACTGACTATATATAACTGACTGAATTGTAAGACAATGTACAATTGCATAATCATTGTTCATTGTTTTTTTTTTTTTTTTTAATCATTGTTCAATTTAACCGGCTACTAATCATGACAATCGTTTTAAAGAAACAAAACAAAATCTAGAATAGAAAACATTCGGGGAGAATTAGACAAGAGACTGGGAGAAATAACAAGTGGGTTCAAGAATTTGTCGAGTTTCTTTAGGCATATCAATAGACTGATAAGAAGTCACAAGTGGGTTCAAGAACTTGTAGACTTTCTTTAGGTGTACGACAAACTCTATGATTTATTGATTTATGAAGAAAGTGGCAAACATTTTTCCCGTTTCGACCCAAAAAGGACTTTATTTCAATATACTTACAAGCGCAGTAAAAAAACAAATAAAGGAAATTGTGTTAAGATAATGAACAATTAAATGTTGTAGTAAAAAGAAATGTTTTTAGAGTCCAAAACACAACATTTTTTTCTCAAAAAAAAATTATTAATACAGCAAATATATATATGACTTGCCACACAGAAATACATAAGTTCATATAAAAACTGAAAATGTTAATAAAGAAAGACGTACCCACGAAAATATTTTATACAAAACTATGTAACCTAGACAATTTTTTTAAAAAGGCTATAAATAACAAAAAAAATTACATCATATAGTATTTTGGGTTTAGAAACAAAATCATTTAACCTTTCCTTTATTTAATTATGGAGAAATAAAACTTGAAAAATGAAAAAAAAATGGGGACCAAATGGTAAAAATAAAACATAAAAAGATTAGCTATAAATAAAGGAGCTCTAAAACCCAAACACTTAAGAACATCCCCACTCTCTCCCCTTGTGCCTAAAAGATCTCCTTCACTCTCTTTTGTCTCTTTAGAATTATGGGAATCGGAGAAGAAAGCACAAAGCCTATTTGGGGGAGTGTGAGCCAGGCGCCTTCAGGCTACGCTCTCAACGGCAAAATCATGCTCTCCTCCGTGATCGTCCTCTTCGTCGCCGTTATTATGATCCTCTGTTTCCACAGCTACGCCCGATGGTTATTCCGTCGTCAGAACCGTCGCATTCGCCGCCGTATTCGTGCTCATATCCGTACTCTCTCCGCCTCACCCCGCGACCAAGCTCTCGACCCGGTTGTTCTCGACAAGATTCCGATCTTCGTTTACTCCTCCAAGAATCCACCACCACCCGAAGAGAAGGAGGAGTGCTCCGTCTGCTTGTCGGAGTTCGAGGAAGAAGACGAAGGCCGTCTTCTCCCTAAATGTGGCCACTCTTTTCACGTCGATTGCATCGATACTTGGTTCCGTTCTAGATCCACTTGCCCGCTTTGCAGAGCTCCGGTTCAACCCCCGGTTCAAGTCATTGAAACCGGATCTTCTTCTTCTTCGCCGCTGAGATTTCCGACGGAGGCTTGCGAGAGAGAACCAATTGATCTCGTCGGAATCATTGTGGAGATTCCCAGAGAATTTGAAATTCAAGGCTCAAACCCGGGTCTACCCATCGAAAACGGATCCAAATTCCCGGGTAATCGGGTTTTGTCTTTGAAAAGGTTATGGAGCATCTGATTACGGGCGGGTAAATGGGTTTCTATTTTTTCAAAAACCGCATGAACAATGAACCAATCAATAGTCCAATTTACTTGGGCAACGTGTATTTGTTACCCGTTCATTATTATTAAATTTTGAAGAAACGATTCGATTGTACACAAGTAAGTTACTGTACACAAATCGTATTGAAACAGGCACCACTAAATAATTATTTGACTAAAAAAACAACACATGAATGATTAAATACTAATTAATATAACTAATTAACATGTCATATAGTAAAAGGACGTTGGTTGATTATGCGATCAGTCCACCCACGAAAGGCACTCCGGTTTGTCCGATCCAACCCTCACCAACAAGGAAATTGGTCACCGTGAAATTGGAAGCATCAGTAGCGTTGATGACGTGATAACCTGGCCAAGTGACTCGGTTTGTCGTGTCAGAACCAGGTCCGGTATTATTGTATTCCGCGTAGTAAAGTGTGCTCAATGCGAAATCGCCCGACCATGCATTCCAACCAGTCGGTTCTAGAAACCCATCTATGTAAGTTTGCATAACAACGGTTCTAGAATATTCCTTCCATGGTCGACCAAGATAAGTTTTCACTGTATAGTTGCTCGTAGCCAAATCATCTGCCGGTCTTATAGTACAACCATGAATTGCAGTTCCAGTGTTTTGGTTGGGATCGGTACGACCTTGAGCCGTAACCTCGTTCGCTTGACCTTTGCGAGGTTGACGTGGATACAAATTACAGCTTTGTAATACCACTGCAGCATTACCGAATATAAAATCAACGGTACCATATACATCACATTCACGATAAAACTGTCTGAGAGAATGTGTGTATAAGGTGTCTTGATAGGCTTCAAAACTACAACTATAGAAAACAGACAAATCTCCACCACTCCTCAATGCCACGGCTTGGCCTTTGGTTGGTCCTGCCGTATTGCGGATTGTTATGTTTACACCAATAAAGTTGGGACCTGATAGAACTGCAATTTGTGAACAATATGTAGAGTTAGTTAATTATTTCAACTAAAAAACCTATAAAATTCAAATTAGTTTCGTTAGAGGTTATGATTAAGAAAACTACTATGAAAAAAAATATTTGGAAAAAAAAAAGCAAAAATATGAGAAATATTTTAGTTATTGGACTATGGTATTAGGTTAGTTGAGGACACGACGAATTGACGTGGAGTCAAGACTTTCGGTGGACCATCCGACCAAGTCGCCATCCACTGCATAGGAAAGTCTATACTAAAAGCTAAGTGGACTTACAATTATTCTTATGTTCAACTTATAACAATTATTGTTTCTTAAACAATGATCTATATATTTGATAAACAAAAGTTTCTAAAACAATATAGTTACATCGCACTTGCACGAAGAAGGCATGTTTTGTGCACATGTCTTCGTATTTTTTTTTTGCTAAGCACATGTCTTCGTATTTTCTAATAATTTTTAAAATTGTGTGGACAAAACTCGAATGCTAAATTTAAACCGTATATTATGTTGTACTTTTATTTCTTTACCTAAATTACTATTTTTTTAAAAATAAAAAAAAATTATATATTTTCAATATGAAGTTGGTTTTGTGGGATTATATAAATAAATACGAACTTACTAAATGTGGCGGAATTGAAAGTGGTCCATCCATCAACGACGCTCCGGTTTCCGGTGATAACCGTTTGGTTGATGCCGTCACCGATCATCATCACATATCTCTTGCTCTTGGGAATGTCCACGTATTCCTCGTACAATCCCGCCGTTACGTAGATCAAGAAGTAACCGTTACTACCGTCAGTTTTGTTTGGCGCGGCTGCAATGGCGTCGTTTATGGTCGTGAAGTTTCCCGTCCCGTTCTGATTCACCGTCACAATGTCGCTCACCTGAACAGCGTCTACATCAGATTGGAGAAGCTTTCTCCTAGTCACCGTGTTGTAAATGGCACGTGTTTTTTCCGTCATCTTTAACGGTAATCTACCGTTACGGAAACCAAAAAACTTTTTGAAGCTGGCTTGTGGTTGCCAAATCGGTCTCGATCTTTGCCTTCTTGGCACCCAACCTACAAAGTCAAATGCGAAAATGCATTTTCATATTTTAGTTTATATATATACTAATATACAACACATATTTCTCCTAGTAATTTGTGGTTGTTATTTCTAATATTATTTCTAACGATTCTTTTTTGTCAACTAACATGTATTAGGCATATTTAATTTGAATCGGATGGTGACAAACTGACACACATCCACAGACGAATTACGCCACAAGTCATGTGGGTCAAAGATTTTTCCTATAACAAAATGATACATTCTTCACGAAAGCAAGAGTAGTACAAAATAATAAAAAGCGAGCGAATTAAATGAAGAAGATTTCGTGCAACATTATAGACGATTACGTGTATATTTAAATTATCATATATGAACGAAAAATGGGAATTACGTGCATGTTGGATAACTTTTGTTTATACCTTTGGAGAAAAGGGCAAGAGACACCCCATAGAGTTTTGTATCGTTGAAAAGTTCACCGGAAAGACCATTTTCAGACGCCGTTGATTTTAGTCCTTCAAGACAAGTCTGTTCGTTGGTGACGGCAGCACTCAGAAATGTATGAACATCCTCGGCCCTAGATAACGACAGCGTTTTGGTGGAATCAGCCGTCTGTGAGCTACTAAGGAGGTAGTCCATAGTCAGGCTGGCTAGGAATTTGCAGTCTTCGAGAGCCCCTACAGTGGATTTAGCAGCCACTTTGCCTTTCCGGTCAAGTTGAGCGTCGATCAGCGAAATGAACCGGCGGGCTCGTGAGAGGGACCTTCGGAGAGAGAAACGTCCGTAGGAATATATATCTCCGGGCTGGTTTGGAAGAACCGATCTACAATATGATGGATCCGGCGCAAATCTACATATATTTGACGGTGAAGCGGCATTTTCAGTGGCCGGTATTTCGGCGGAGAGAAAAAGAGATGGTAACAAGGAGAGGCAGGCAAGGGTGAACAAGAACATGAGTTTTTGAGACATCTTTTGGGTTTTGTTTTTTGTTTTTAGCTTAATTTGTGTTTTGGTTGGAGATATTTTGTTAAGTGTCTTGGATTATATATATAGGGTTTTGAGAATGTTGAATTTGAATATACATTACATACAAGTTCAAGTCAATGATAATGTGTGTGTACATATTACATATATAATTGTGGCGGTGTCGAAAAATTCAACATATATACCATATTGTGATAATATTCACACGCATAGATCTGTCTCTCACCAAAAATTAGATAAATAGTCACAGTAATTAAGGAGTAAATTCCTTCCGTGAGGATTATAAATGGGTGTTTTTTTTTTTTTTTTGAATTTACTTGAAAAGTCAAATTTTGACCAAACTTCTGTTACCACAATTTGAATTTGTATAGTCAGGGCAAGGGTTTTCGTAATTTAAAATTGTCAACCAACGTTAGGCATTTCAAGAAAAATTTCGATTATATATATTACATGTTGGTAAAACAGCACATTACACATCAACAAAAAAGTCAAGATCTTGACATTATAATCTCTGATAGACTTTAATTAGACCATTGCAAATAAAATTCGTTTTTAAACTGTATACGAGGAAGGTCCCACGCATAAGGTGAATAACTTTAGAATGATACACAGGACATTTGGAAAAATATTTGGATACGAATATAAATTTGGAGTGTTTCAGATGGTAATTCATTTATTTAAGTTTTGATTTTCTTTGATTGCCATTGCCCAAAACGAAATGTATATAATTTTATAGAGTTGTAAACGTATCCAGTTATTGATTAATTAGTTAATCTTGTTGCATTAAATTGGCTGGTATGATAAAAAAAAAAAAAAATCAAGTTAGAGGACAGCCATGAGATACGTATTTTAGATATGTTTGTATACGAGTGACACATGAAATCGATCGAATCAGGTTTAATATAATATATTGATGCTTTTATTTGTCGACATGATATTAATATATATCTTACATTCTTACTTAATTCATTACCTACACACGTATTTGTCCATAATTTCGTTATACAATACAAAGTAAAATTTATTGGCAGATGACAAATTACTTAAGGAAATTAAAATTCACCAAAACATATAGCCTAATCATTTGTGATAATGCTATTGTATTTGAAATTAACAAATATATGTATTATGATCAATGTAGATTTGTGTACATGTCATGTGAAGAGTATATATCGTAGATAACAACCCTAATTAACGTAATACAAAATTCGGAACGAAAACATAAGCATAGATTGAATGTAGCTTGTCCATTATCGAATTTTGGGTAAATACGTTGGCAGTGCCTATCTTTTGTTTTGTGTGATATTTTTTTTTTGACCAAAAAAAGAAAAATGGTTTATCTTCGATGTTTGATATGTTTAGCTTGATGATAGTTGATACTTAAGAGACTTAGTGTTCTTTGATGGGAAACAATGTCTACTAACTTTTATTTTCCTTTTATATCTTCAAAACTATATTTTTTTCTTAAAGAGATTTTTTGGGTAATACATTTTAATTAATTTAGAAATCTATGTAAAATCATGCGTTATAAATCATTACTTCTGAAATTTTTATCATTATCATGCGTTATTTATTTAATAATTTCTAAATAAACTCCCCTAAATTTGGCAAGATAGGACAATGAGTTTGACTTCTGATCAACTAAAACGGTATTCCATATCCAAGTCAAAGCCTCTCTCTCGTGAGGGGAAAAATAAAAATAAAAAGAGTGTCTCTGAACGGCGACGTTTATTTGATAAGAAAGTATAACGCGTGAAGAAAATTCAGCAATGCCAAAGGAGTTGGACCGTTTGCGTAACTCAAGAAAATTTAAACCACTTTTGTAAAGTCAAGCATATTTATCATACCAAAAAAAAAAACGTCAAAGCATATTTAAGATAATTAGTATATTCTAATCAATCAATTTTCATTTTTTTGTATAATGTATTTAGTTAAGCAAAACCCACTAGTACTAGTTGTTCGAATTACGCGGATAAAGCATGTGCCTTCTTCATATTTAAGTCAAGTTTCGAGTTGTGTTTATGAATTATTTGACTTTCTATTCTGCCTTGCGTCCTTCTGTAGTAATAATCACTATTCACTGGCACACCACACACAAAAAAAAAAAAAGTACACGAAAGCACTTGTCCAACTAAAATGTGATAATTTGATATTTTGCATATTGGTTAATACATTAACGGAGGTAATTATATGTACTGTATAAACATTAAACACTATAATTAAGCAGCATAAATTTGTTCTGTTTAAGTGCTTTTGACGTAGTGGTTAGCTAATATATGTTTTTTATTTATTAAGGGACTGAGAGTGAGAGGAGAGCTTCAATATATTACCACAATTCCAAATTTAGAAGATATTATATTGCAATTTTTTATCTTTATCTATAGTGTGTAAGAAAGTTAAAAAATCACATGCATTAATAGATGATTCAGTAATTTTTGCATGTGTGATTTAAGCAATCAAAAAGCCACTAGATACATAAATATATTTTGATGGGCCAATAGGACCCATTTAGGGCATTAGAAACTGAAAAAAAAAAAAAAACATTATATTGTTAAATTTAGTAGCCGTTGGGGATAGACTTGTCGTGAGTTTCCTCGGGCGAGAAGACGAAAGGGCCAACGGTGAAAAGCTTCATCTTAAGCTTGTTTTCTAGGAGACGATAGTTTTGGAGAATGGCTCCGCTGATTCCACGGTTGATCTCGGTCGGGAAAGAACACGTGTCAGAAGGAGAAAGCTCAAGAAACGCCCTACACTCTTTGATCTTCATCACCTGCTTCTTATAATCCTTCACCTCCGACGAAGAAAGCGTAGCCAAGAAATAACCCTTCGCATCCGTCGCTTGGCTAAGCACCGTCACATCCTCCGCTTCGTAACCATATTCATCAGCTCTCTCACATGTCACTCTCGCCACTGCACCTGTCCACATATATCAAACAAAGACTTAGATGAGAACCTTAAACTCAGATCCTAGTTTACAATATTTATATACATGATGAGATTTACCTTGGAGAGGGGTAAGCTTAGATCCTTGTTTGCAGTAGATGAGACCTTGGACTCCAACCATCGAGGAAAGCAGTTCCCCGTCGGTGATTGTGGCTACTCCGGCGGCCAACAGAGACAAGAGAAGCATCATGTAGGGAATGAAGAAAATCGAACAAGTTTGGGCCATTTTTTGTTTGTTTTATTCTGTATATAAATGTATGATAGATAGATGTTTAAGTGTGTTTTTGTTGATGAATGATAGGTTGTACGATGAGAGTTATATAGGGTTGTAGCGATAAGGTTAATAAATCCAAAATTATATGAGAATAAGGGATCTAACTTGGGCGCACGTTTTAGCTCGTGATCCTAATCATTGCATCCAAAAGTGACTTTGATACATTAGAGGACGTGCAGCCACTTTTTTTTTTTTTTTTTTTTTGTTAAAGCGATCCTAGTTTTAGTTTCAATTTCGTTCGACGATAAAGCGAGTCTATCTCTTCTTTTTACCATCAAAATAAAATCGTTACATACCTTTTCCCTTTATTTACGTACTAACGGTAATCTTTGTACTTTATCTATTTGAGATTTGACATAAAAATACTAAATTAAAGCGTTTATTACCAGTTACCAGCACGTTGAAAGGAAAAACTCAAAAAATACTCATCACCATCACCGCATCACGGCTAGTCTGTAGACAACATATAAGACGAAAAAGGAAAGTCCCAGAATAATGTATTTGCAGTTGCACACGTTTTTCCACTCTCTAAATTTTTTTTTTTTTTTTTGATAAAAAACTCTCTAAGAATCTTTCTAATGGAACCGGTGATATATGGCCGTCATTAATATAGTTCTAATCTACGCAAAAAATGTTGCGGATCCAATTGGGATTAAAAAAAAACATCTTCAATAATTTATTAGATCTACCAAGTATTTATTTAAAGGAGGTTTTAAGGTAATCATAATGACTAATATACATATAAACCTCTTATTTTAGCGCTTTTAATGTCATTTTTCAATCAAACACCTATTGGATGAAAGATTTTTACCGAAATATAACGATTTTGTTATATCAATGTGCATTAATCATCGAAGTAACATCTTATATGTATTCTCTTTTCTTGTTGACAGCTTCTTCTTATCAGGAAACTAATGATGATTTCATTAATGGATTATTATTCATCAACATGGAAAGAGCATAGCCAAGAATAAAAAAATGATATCTGGACAAGTGACAGGAGCCGGTGGCGAAAAAAAAAAAGGCAAAAAAAAAAACGCGATAAGGTTCTCTCAAAAGAACGGAACAGTGTCGGCGTTCTCCCACCTTGTCCGGCGTCGGCCTCGACGTCGGAGCGCCGCCTCCTCCTCTCCTTCAGGCCCTCCTCTCCTCATGAGGAACAAAGTCTCCTCCCAAAAGAAGAAGTCGCCTCCTGCGGCCCCGTTGTCGTCTCCTCCGCTTCGCGAGTTCCCTGCTTCCGCCGGTGCTCAACCCCCAATTCCGTCGCCGCAGTCTTCACTTCGCCATCCCAGCCTTCGATTCCACCGCCCCAGTCCTCAGATCTGTTGATTTCGGGACGATTTTCTTCGTCTGAAGCAAGCTCAGGGTCACCCGCGAAAGCTGTTGCTGCCTCTGTTCTTTCTTCAAAACCCAATGTCCTTGCCTCTCCCCGTGAGCAAAGTAAGGTCACCCCAAATCCGGCTAAAAGCGACCTAAAACCTTGCTGCACCGGAACCTCTGCGAATGCTGCGCCGCCAGCGGACCCAGTCTCCTCAGTCACCGCCAAAGCTCCTGACGCGCCGTGGCTTAGTTTGTTTAAGGGAACTTCTCGACCCTTAACCAAAAAAGGAACAGCCTTTACCCTTCCTTCGGGGGAAGCCTGTGTGAAGATTCCCATCTCTGTTATTGAAAAAAATCAGAAATCTTGGGATTGTTTCATTTTAGGTCAATTCTACTCAGAACCGCCGGCTCAAGGCACTGTTCACGCGATTGTTAATGGTATTTGGAGTCGTTTTCACAGGGACATCTCGGTTACCAAGATGGAGGGTAATGCGTTTCTGTTTCGGGTTCCAAATTCTTCGACCCGGAATCGGATCCTCACTCAAGGTCTCTGGCAGATTGAAGGCCAAACTATGTTTGTCGCGAAATGGAAGCCAGGATCCATTCCGCAGAAGCCTGAGCTCTCTTCAGCCCCTGTGTGGCTAGAACTGAGGAACGTCCCACTTCAATTCTTCAATGAGGATGGGTTTGAATTTATTGCAGGATTAGTTGGCGAACCTAAAGGGCTTCATCCATCAACTGCAAACATGACAAACTTAGAAGTGGCTAAAGTTTTCACTCTTATAGACCCAAGGAAGCCGCTGCCGGAGGCTGTCAATGTCCAGTTCCCTTCGGGAGAAATAAGTCGTGTTCTTGTGTCTAGCCCATGGATGCCGCCTATTTGCTCGTTCTGTAAGGAAGTGGGTCATAATTTGAAGCGCTGCAAATTAGCCCCTGTCTCTTGTTCAGCTTGTAAATCTACTTGTCACTCAGCTGCTGCGTGTCCGCGTGCCAAAGCTAAACCCAAAAAGAAAGTTCCTAGGTCGAAGAAGTTAGTAACTCCACCTGAGCTTTTGCTAAATCTTCCCGTAACCTCTGTTCTCCTTGCTCCTAGTGCAAAAGGTAAAGAGATCGTGATTGGCTCGGTCTTGCCATCTCCTAAACCGGCTCTTGCCTGTAATGTTGCGAGCTCTTCAGAGTGGATTCAAGTTAAGCCTAAATCTGTTTCGAAGAAAGGTATTAGCATTCCTGCCTCTTCCCCAACTCCTGTTCAAGAAGGTACTATTTGCATTGACATTGGGCTCGACAAGATTCAGGCTGATCAAGATCTTTTGGAAGCAAAGAGTCTTGAATCTGATTCTTCAGATGTTTTGTCTTCAGAGGACGGTGTCGATCCGGAAATTGATGAATCTCAGTTCTTAAAAATGTTCTCACAGAGACAACAAAGAGGTGCCAGGGGCAAGGGCCCCAAACATATCTGATTAATGTATAAAGACATTTTTTGCTGGAATGTGCGAGGTTTTAATAAGTTAAGTCATCGGAGAGGTTTTAAGGATTGGTTCTTGCTTAACCGTCCTATTTTTGGGAGTCTCATTGAGACTCACGTGCAGCAGTGCAAACAGAAGAAGCTTTTATCTGCTATTTTGCCAGGCTGGTCTTTTGAAGACAATTATGCTTTCTCAGATTTGGGGAAAATCTGGATCATGTGGCACCCTAGTGTCAAGGTGTCCATCATCTCCAAATCTCTCCAGATGATGACTTGTGAGGTTCTCCTGCCGGACTCACAGTCTGAGATTGCTATATCTTTTGTGTACGCAGCAAACGAAGAGTCGGCTAGAAGAGAGCTATGGACTGAAATTGTTTCTATTGCCTCTAGTCCTCGTATGGTGGGGAAAGCCTGGTCTGTTCTTGGTGATTTTAATCAAGTCCTGAGCCCATCTGACAACTCTTCCTCCCTCAATCCAAATGTTGACCTGCCAATCAGGTTGTTTCGTGACTGTTTGTTGGAGGCAGACCTTTCTGATCTCAATTTTAGAGGCTGCTCATTCACTTGGTGGAATAAAAGAAGCGCTAACCCTCTGGCAAAGAAGTTAGACAGAATCTTGGTTAATGAGAATTGGTTGCAGTTGTTTCCTGCTTCTCTTGGGTTTTTTGGCGAACCAGATTTCTCTGACCACTCCTCTTGCAGCATCACTCTAAATCCGTTTGTGCAACGTCAAAGGAAAGCTTTCAGGTTCCAGAACTTCCTTCTACAAAATCCAAATTTTGTGCCTTTGGTTGCATATCATTGGTTTAGCTTTAATCTGGTGGGATCTGCTATGCTTCGCTTCTCGAAAAAACTAAAAATCTTGAAAAGGTACATCAGAGAGTTTAGCAAAGATAACTACTCCAACCTGGAGAAAAGAGTGAAAGAAGCTCACCTGATTGTTCTGCGACTCCAGCAGCAGCTCCTCTCAAACCCAACTCCTGCTCTTGTTCTTCTTGAAATGAAAGCAAATGAGAAGTGGCAGGTTCTCCTCCAGGCTGAAGAATCTTTTCTCTGCCAAAGATCGAGAATTACCTGGCTTAGAGAGGGTGACTTGAATACTGCTTATTTTCATCGCATCACTTCTGCTAGACTCGCAATGAATCACATTCATTTCCTTGTTGATAACTCTGGCGGCAGGATTGAATCTCAGCAACTGATCCAGGAGCATTGTGTCAGCTACTATAAATCTCTTCTTGGAGGACCCAAAGAATCTCCTCAATTTGATCCTGCACATCTCTCTAGCTTGCTAGAGTTCAGATGCTCTCCTGCCCACCAAGCTGCTTTGGATTCTGTCTTTTCTCCTGAAGAGATTCGCCAAGCTGTCTTCTCTCTTCCTCGGAACAAAACTTCTGGCCCTGATGGCTACTCAGCTGAGTTCTTCAAGAGTTGTTGGCACATTGTTGGCCCTGAATTGGTTGAGGCTGTTTCAGAATTTTTCAGGTCTGGTCAGTTGCTGAAGCAATGGAATGCAACTACAATCATTCTTATCCCAAAAATCACAAATGCTTCCTCAACATCTGATTTCAGGCCAATCTCTCTATGCAATACAGTGTACAAGGTGATTTCAAAGTTGTTGGCGGGTAGGCTGCAATCTCTCCTTCCCTCTGTTATCTCCAATGCTCAGTCTGCTTTCCTCCCAGGTAGACTACTTGCTGAAAACGTCTTGTTGGCCACAGAACTGGTCAATGGGTATAGTAGAAAGAATATTGGCCCAAGAGGCATGCTGAAAGTTGACCTCCGGAAGGCTTTTGATTCGATGAAATGGGAATTCATCACTGCCATCTTGAAAGCCATGCACTTCCCGGACAGATTCATAAACTGGATCTCTCAATGCATCTCAACTCCTCAATTCTCGGTTTCTGTTAATGGGGTCACCTCAGGTTATTTTCAAAGCTCTCGTGGGTTAAGGCAGGGAGATCCAATCTCTCCCTACCTGTTCGTTTTGGCAATGGAGGTCTTCAGCAAACTTATGAGCTCTAGTTTCGCGGCTGGCTTCATTAATCATCACCCTCAAACAAAAGAACTTGATATAACTCATTTGATGTTTGCGGACGATGTAATGGTTTTCTTTGATGGTTCTTCTTCATCTCTGACAGGTATCTCTGACGCTATGGACATCTTTGCAAGTTGGTCTGGTTTGAAAATGAACTGTGAGAAAACTCAGATCTTTACTGCTGGCTTAGACCCTGGTGAATCCTTAGCAATCTCTAGCTTCGGATTTCCCATTGGTTCTATGCCCATCAGATATTTAGGTTTGCCTCTAATGAGTAGGAAACTAAGAATTTCAGAATACTCTCCACTCATTGAAAAACTGAGAAAGCGTTTTCAAAGTTGGGCTACCTCTTCTCTGTCTTACGCTGGAAGGCTGCAACTGATTAAGTCAGTGATCTATGGTCTAATTAATTTCTGGACTTCTACCTTTGTCCTCCCAAAAGCTTGCATAAAATTGATGGAATCTCTGTGCGCCAGGTTTCTCTGGTCTGGTTCCGTTGATATTTCAAAAGGGTTTAAGGTTTCTTGGGCCAATATTTGTTATCCAAAGACTGAAGGTGGTCTTGGTTTGCGTCGGCTGGGAATTTGGAACTCTACTCTATGTTTGAAGCTTGTGTGGTTGCTATTCTCTGGGAGTGGATCTCTTTGGGTGGCATGGCATCACCATCACCACATAAAAGGCAAGAGTTTCTGGTCTCTTAAACCCTCTACTAAGGACTCTTGGAACTGGAGATCATTGTTAAACTTAAGGCCCTTAGCTGAAAGGTTTGTTCAGTGTAAATTGGGTAATGGTCGGCTTGCTAGTTTTTGGTTTGATTCGTGGTGTCCCCTTGGCCCTCTAATCAAATCCTTTGGTGTTGATGGCCCAAGACTCTTGCGACTACCAATCCATTGCTCTGTCGCTGATGCATGGGATGACAATGGCTGGATTCTTCCACCATCAAGATCGCTTCGCGCCTTACCTCTCATCGATCTTCTTAATTCTGTTACTCCGGTCTTCAGCTCTCTTGAGGAAGATAGCTACTTTTGGGTTATCCAAGGTATTAAATTCAATCGTTTCCCCACTGCTATCACTTGGGAATCTACCAGGCCGAGGACCACAACTAAGGATTGGGCTACTTCAGTTTGGTTTAAAGGCGCCACTCCGAAACATGCTTTTACCATGTGGACTGCGCAGCTACAGCGACTGCCAACAAGGGCCCGTCTCGCTTCCTGGGGCCTTCCTATACCCTCGACCTGCTGTCTTTGTTCCATACATGAGGAGACTCACGAGCATCTCCTGCTGCGTTGTGCTTTTAGTGAGCAGGTTTGGCACCTAATACAGTTGAGACTTTACTTACCTCCCTGTCTTTTCTACACTTGGCCCTCGCTGATTTCCTGGACTAAAATGAGTACCAGTTCGTCTCCCTCTATTCTCCGGAAGCTTGCGAGTCATGCTGCTGTGTACCACCTTTGGAAGCAAAGAAACAATGCTCTCCACAACCAAATCTATATCAGCCCAGATGCACTCTTTATCCTCATCGACAAGGAGCTGCGCAACACCATCTCTGCCAGACGGAACCGGAAGCATTTCAGGAACCTAATGGCTCTTTGGATCCGATAATTTGTTGATTGACACCCAACATCTCTTTGTAACCCTTGTTTTTTAAAACTTTTTTTGGCAAGGCTACAATCTCTAGGTTGACTTTTTGTAAAACCTCAAACTTCATTTATATGATATTCACATTCCTATCAAAAAAAAAAAATAAAAAAAAAAAAAAGAATAAAAAAATGAAAATAAACATATATAAACCGCGATCTAATGATTGATTGTGATCCCCTAGTAAACGGGTTTGGGAGCCACGGGGCTAGAAAAATAGAAAGGTTCAAGGGTGTAGAGGGTCAAGTTGTCGTGGCTAAGGAACTTGGAGTTTTCGGGAGAGAGTGGAGCTCCTGTGACACCTTTGTTGACATTGGTCGGAGTCTTACACGTGTAGACCGGAGAGCTCTCGAGCTTCACTTTGCAGCTACTGATGTTCTTCACCTTGTGGGAGAGTCCGTACGTGATGAAGTAGAAGTATCCCTTCAAGTCCGTTGGGTAGCTAGAGATTGTAACCTTAGCCACTAGCTTTCCGTGTGAGTCCACCATAGGACACACAACCTTAACCTTGGCCCCTGTCAAGTACATTACCGGTTTGGCTCAGTCGTAGACAAACATTTTTTGTTTTTGGTAACATGTCATGGAATGTAACACATAAAATCGAAAATGTAGTTGCACCTTGGATGGGGTAGGTTTTGTAGCCATATTTGCACAAGATGAAACCTTCAATGGCCATGTAAGTGGTAGTTGGTTTGGGAACGTAAGGTTGTGGTGGAGGGTACATAATTGGTGGTGGGCCTGGTGGCGCATAGTAATCGGCAGTGGCCACAACCACCACCATCGTGAGGAGGAGGAGATTAGCGGCGGTGCATGTGGATGCCATTGTTAATAGCTTGTGCTCTTTCGTATTGTTTGGTTGTTTAAAGTATGATCTCAAGACATGGCCTCCATATATATGTAGAACACAATGTCGACAGAAAATATCTTAAGATAATAGGACAAGTGTCAACTAGATGTTGGATGGAAGAGACATAATTGGGTGCACGTTTAAATGTATATTTCACCACCAAAATCTAATAATATTAATCGAGAAATGTTTTAATAATTATTACTCATCACATACACCACAAAGGATCCGAATTGAAACGGAGGGAATGTTTTTGTGGTTAATTCTTTAATTAGGTAAGTAAGTATTTATATGCAAGCATGATTAGATAAATGAATTTAGAATCATCATTTGATAGGAATTATGCCATGTAATAATATCTCGATGACTCGATGTAGGAGTAGAAGTAATTGTTTTCTAGTAATATCGGTAGTCGGTACCTTAAATTTAGAAAGCGTTTTGGTTCAAATGACGACTGCATATTCTATGATTAATTATAAGCGAAATTCGGATAGAATCAACATATTATTAGTATTTGTTAATGGTAGTTGCAAAAGGTTATAGAGCACAGTAAATAAATTAGAGGATATGTATAAAAAAAGTAGTTAAAGTTTCTAGAAGAACTTGGTCGTCAAGCAAAAACTGCAACAACTCTGACGAATACGTTGTCTGTATAAAACCCAACCCAAATTCTCTCTCTCTTTTAGGACTCAGTACAAAACAAAAACGTCTTGTTCTAGTTTGGAGTTGGAAGCATTTAAAAAAAATGTGTGGGGGAGCTATCATTTCTGATTTCATCTGGGCGAATTCTTCGTTGGCTGAGTCAGAGCCGAGTCAAGTCGGCTCTGTTAGCAGCAGCAAGAAGCGTAAACCCGTCTCAGGTACAACACTTTGGTTTCGAGTTTTGTTTATAAAAAAAAAAACTGAATATGCGTTTCTGATTGGGGAATATCGTCGAACAGTTGATGGGCAAAGAGATGGGAAGCGAGAGAGGAAGAATCTGTACAGAGGGATAAGGCAGAGGCCATGGGGCAAATGGGCAGCGGAGATTCGTGACCCGAGGAAAGGTGTACGTGTCTGGCTTGGCACATTCAAAACCGCCGACGAAGCTGCTCGAGCCTACGACGTTGCAGCCATCAGAATCCGTGGCCGGAAAGCCAAACTGAATTTCCCAAACACTCAAGTAGAAGAAGCCGATACAAAACCAGGGAATCAAAATGAGCTGGTCTCAGGAAACCAAGTAGAGAGCTTGTCGGAGGACCTGATGGCGTTGGAGGATTATATGAGATGCTATCAGATTCCGTTTGCCGACGACCAATCGGCGACTGATCTTGGAAATTTATGGAGCTATCAAGACTCCAACTAAATCTCTTATTTCCTGGTTTACTTCCTTTCAATTTACCGGCCGGTTTGCTCACCTTCCTTTTTTCCTCGTTAATACGCTAATCTACTTGTTTTCTATTTAACGATCAACTCTTATTTGTTTCCATCAATATTCCAGAGTAAAGCTTCAACAGTTCTAGTGCTTTATATATATAGTTTTGCAAGAACAAACACACTAAATACCGTCGTTTATAGTGTTCACCCTTTTTTTTTTTTTTGGGTTTACATAAGATGAAAGTTGTAGGTAGTAGTAGTGTATGTACCTTCATTTGAACATATTGAATGGTATTATACTTTTTTTCTTCTTTTTTTCACTGAATGATTCAATATATTGATAGCTTAAAAGAGCAAGATTTACAATCATACCCAAAAAAGAGGGATCCAAGACAATTACCCTCAGAGAAGAGAATACAAAAAGCTCAAAAGAGCAAGATTTAAATGAATGATATTATACATTCAAACAGATATGGTATTATACAAACAATTCATATTTAAGTTTAAGATTCTCGTTTTGTTTTCAACACCTAAGAGTATCAGCAACAGTCGTACCTAGCAAGTCTCTAACTATTAAAATATAGGGAAAATAGAAAAAGGAGAAGAGAGTGATAGAGGCGTTTCTTGTTTTAGGTACTCATAAAAATTTTTTTTTTACACATGTCCTTTTACAATTAGTCTAGTTAAAATACTTTTTAATAAATTATTAATATAATGTGTGTTCACACATAAAATTGTGTTCGGAAAAGAGAAACTCAAATTAAGAGACGGAACGTTGGGTTTGCTCTAAGTTTTTTTCACTTAAAAAACAAGAAAAATATTCAATAATTAATATTTAAAATGTAAAGTATGGAGAGAAAATAATTCAAAATAAAATAAAATGTAATTATGGAGTTGTGGCGGCGGCGGAGCGGAATCTGTTGGCTTGACGCCGCACATGGTTTCATCGTCAAAAGGTGTGTTCTTTTCAACACCTTTACGCCACGTCATAAGCCTCGTTCAATTTGAGGTCTAACAAAAGCCCAGTAAAGCCAATCCAATTTTAATCGGCCCAAAGAGTCATAAATCCTAGCCGTAAAAAGCTCGTATTGTGAGCCCAGCGAGGAGAGAGAGACAGACAAAGACATTCTTCTCGCTGAGTTTACTCTTATTCAACACAAAAAAATTGATACATAAAGAAGATGATAGCTTGGCCTTACGATGTTGCCCTCCCAAGAAAATTTGAATTATATAGTTTGTCGGATTTGCTCATTTTTATTATAACCTAAATAAAGCTGGTAATTGAAGAAGCTTTGGCTCCAAAAAGAACTATCAATCGGAGGGACCAATCATCTTCTCAGGAACAACAAGAGTATCAAACTCTTCCGCAGTAAGAACGCCTAGCTTCAGAGCCGCGTCCTGTAGGATAAATTAAAACTCGAGGTTTAACAAACAAGAACCTGTTTACACAATAAATTTTTGAAATCTTCGTTGAAGAAGGTTCAAAATCCAATATAGAGAGAGCACAGCAGAGATATAATTGCTATCAAACTGCTCATGCAGGTATGAACGTCTTTCTCTTGTTGCCAATCAATTTCAATTCTTTCGTGACAAAGCATGAGAAAGGGTTTGTTTATTACCTTCAATGTACATCCTTCTTTGTGAGCTTTCTTGGCAACTGCTGCAGCATTGTCATAGCCGATTTTCTGGTAGAGGAGATAAGAATTCGAAAACTCAGCAACGAGGTAAATTCATTTGTAATTTTAAAGGGAAAATGGATGACGTAAAGGCGGAGTTCAATATCTGGAGACTTACCGGATTCAATGATGTCACGAGCATAAGAGACTACAGAGAAATACATAGAACAAATAATCAGTTCCCAGAAATCATTTTCACTCCATGGACAATTTTTACACCAACAAACGAGAATAAGCCTACCTCGTGCAATAGCTTTGAGATCCTTTCTCTGTTGGCCTCAATGCCCCTCACACAGTTTTTCTCGAACGAAGCTGAAGCATCTGCTATTAATCTGACGGACTGTCAAAGAGGCGAGATCAAATGGTTAAGACTGTTATATTTTATATAAAATCAAAGAAACAGAAGTACAACGAAAATGATTGACATACATGCAAAAGAGCGCTTGCGATCACCGGCTTGAATACATTCAATTCGAAATGACCATTTGACCCACCAACTGTCACAGCTACATGGTTTCCCATAACCTGCAACCCAAACAGTCAGGAACAATACAACCTTAGCATTTAGATTCATAGGTCAGTACTAAGAATGTGTATCAACATGGGACTTACCTGAGCACAAACCATAGTCAAGGCCTCACACTGTGTAGGATTTACCTTCCCCTGAGAAAGAGATAAAAATTCATTTGAATCAAAACTCATGAAAAGGAGAAAGTATGGGAAAAGGAAAAGGACAGAAGAGCAAAGGAAGATTGCATTCATACAGGCATGATACTGCTTCCTGGCTCATTTTCAGGTAGAACAAGTTCACCAAGACCACATCTTGGGCCACTATATAAAGACATGTTAAACCATAAGAACATAGTGCATTTTGAAGAAAGAAAAAAAATAATCCCTAAAGATTAGATAGATACCTTCCAAGAAAACGTATATCATTGGCGATTTTCATTAGCGATGCGGCGATTGTGTTAAGTGACCCACTGGTTTCAACACAAGCATCGTGTGCAGCCTGAAAAAAGCAGAATAATTTAACAACTGATTTCACCGTTCAGAAACATCTTGTCTGGTTGGCACCAGAGACAGAGCTGGGAATGTGTTTCGTGTCAATAAATAATAGAGGAAGGTTGAAGGCTACCAGAGCTTCAAACTTGTTTTCTGCGGTGACAAATGGCAAGTTTGTTTCTTCAGCTACTGCAGCAGCTATCTTTACATCAAATCTGTACAGATATTACTAGTGTTACTAACAGTGGACTAAGCCCACTAGTAAAACATTAAATTTAGGAGATGAACTTGGGATGGAATTATGGAAATAAAATTAGAAATGAGATATACCCTTTCTTAGTGTTTAATCCTGTCCCAACCGCAGTTCCACCTTGTGCAAGCTGGCCAAACATTTCCAGCAAGTTAGAGCTCAGTATAAACTGGAGAAGTACAGGAAATCAGATCCCCCAAAGATAATCTTTTCCCAAACCTGATAGAGGCGAGGAAGAGTGCAGGTGACTCTATTTAGTCCATACTTAACCTGCAGGTGAGTTCCAGATTGTATGTGATTTTCAACTTTGTTAAACAAAACACGGTTTTCTGAACAAACCACTTACCTGAGTAGCATAGCCACCAAATTCTTGTCCTAGTGTCAAAGGTGTAGCATCTTGGGTGTGAGTTCTTCCAATTTTCACAATATCTTTGAACTCGAAGGACTGCCAGAAACAAGGTAAGTTTGGAAAAAATTAGAACGCAGAGCAGATAGACCATAAAGCCCAAGTGCAAATGCAACAGGAATGTGAAGAGGTCTAGAAAAGCAGGATTATATAACAAAGTGTCAGGGTCAGAAGATGTTCCTTAAACGCAACATTGCAACATCTACAAAGCAACTCCCACATACAAATAGTACCACACTGAACTAAGATCAGAAGTGATCCATGATACTATTGAGGTCAGAGCAAGTTTTATTTTAAAAGAGTCTTGTGTTGCAATTTAGCGACTAGATCAAGTGTGTCACTTGAGAAGGAGCAAAAAAAAAGTCAGACCTTAGATTCCAAAGTGCTATGCAAAGTTTTTAAACTAGGGATGAGCCTCGAATTAATCTCGGTTGCAGCTGCAATGTGCATGACCTAGACAAAGCCAAAACAATAAGACCATCAATTAGAAGTTTACAGGGCAGCGAGCCAACATATAGGAAAGAAAAATTTTAAAAACTTTAAGCATGTAAAACTATTGGTAGTTGAAATGCAAAATTAAAGCTTACGGTTGGAAAAGTGTCGTTAGAAGATTGTGATCTATTGACATGGTCATTTGGGTGCACACATTTCTCACCACGTTTGCGACCAAGAATCTCAGCTGCTCTGTTAGCAATGACCTGTGAAGAGCAAAAAGCCTTGTCATGTAAGTAGCTATATACAATGAGATCCTCAACACAAGTCTCAAAAAACTGCAAAGAAATTACCTCATTAGCATTCATATTACTCTGAGTCCCACTACCAGTTTGCCAGACAACAAGGGGGAAATGATCATTGAGCTGTCCCTCAGCTACTTCCTGAGCAGCTTGCATAATAGCTTTCCCAATAGTTGGATCAAGACCATACTCCATGTTAACCTATAAAATTATATTAACTCGATTCATCACGAACCAAAAACGAGAAAGCAAAGGAGAGAATTCAGAGGCAACCGCAAAACCTAGAGCTAGAGTGTTACCTTGGCAGCGCATTTCTTCAAGACTCCAAAAGCGCGGACAATTGGTTCAGGCATTCGCTCGCGCTCACCACCGATTTCGAAGTTCTGCAGCGACCTCTGCGTCTGGGCTCCCCACAATCTGACACACAACAAACCAAACACGGTGAAACTTTTACCTCGGGAAGGAACTTATCAACGTTTCAGGTAAAGATCAGATCCCCAACTTATCGGAAGGAACTTGGATCGGCCCGAAGGTATCCCTCTCCTCCCTAAACGAGGTCGAATAAGATCTCAGCGAGGTGGCATAACGCAGCGCCGTCGCAGTTGTTCCGCCGGAGAGCCGCCGCGACGCGACGTAAATCGCCATGGATTCTTCTACCTGACTGTAAAACTGCAGTCAACAAAGAGGCGAGCGAAGAATCATCAAATTACGCATTTCTCAAACCAGAATAACAACACTACGAATCTGTAAGCGTAAACAGCAAAAACAAAAACCTTGGAAGACGAAGATGGAGAGTTGAGAGAAGACGACGGATCAAGTCGCAGAAGAGCACAGAGAGAGGGAGGAGATAGGGCAACACAAAGAAAAAAAAAAAAAAAACAAATTATAATATTAGAGAAACGATTCAACGAATCAATCAACTGGGTTGGTCGATATTTGAAAAGAATTTTTTTTTTTTTTTTGAATAACAATACAATGCTTTTTCCCAAATAACTTTCCATTATTTTACAACAGATTTTACATATTTCCAATAAAATATTTTTATATCCATTTTTTGTACTACTAAAGATAGCCAAAGTTGAAACTAAATTAGAAGCAATGCAACAAGTCTCTGATTTGAAACATATAGAAATATACTAAAAAAAAAACT